ATGGGAAATAAATATTTAAATCAAAACAAGCTGCTGATTATTTCACATTTTACTTGTGAGCAACGGCACATTTAAATCTTACAAATATAGTTATTTGGCTGATATCGTGATATGAAAAAATCTTATATCGCCCAGCTCTACGACTAATAAAATAATCGTTTGTGGCAGCCCTAGCTCAGATCTTCATGAGTCACTGACATTAGAAGCCTGTTTGTCATAAGCACAGAGGCTGAGAGGACGTCAGTGTTTGAGTGGGGATGGGATCATAAATGTCCTGGATCTGTTTTCCACACGTCGCAGTTTACTGAAGCATTTTAAGGTGCATTAATTCATCCATTAAATATTTGATTCTGTGCTAATATCACAATTTAGACGTTAGTTAAAAACACATTTTACTTGATTTAAATTATTATTACAGCGTGTGGCTGATCTGAGATCAGTTTTTTCTTTTTAAGACTGTTCTGTTTCGGGCGTGTAGACGAAGCTCCCGTGCCGTCGCACCAATCAGGTTATACACACACACAATACGGTAATATTATGTTGAAGCACAGTGCGTATCACTCCGCGAGGCTCCACCTACGACAGCCGTAACGCTCGGAAAATCCATCAAGCGGTGCGGCTTCGTAGCTCAACAAAGTCGTACTGAAACATTTGACAGATTTTTGAGCGCAGTGTACATAAAATCGGTTTGGTAATAACGACGGCCCGCTAGCATGCTCTACCAAAAACTGTGCTTTGTTGTGTGTCTGACGGACGAAAGCCAAACCAGTTCCACACCAGTGAAGCTGCAGCATTTTTACAAACCAGTTCTGGTTCATCAGTTTCATTCATTGATCCGCTTTCGCCATTCTCGTTCTCCGTCGCCGCCATGTGCGTATGTAAACAAAGGCACTGTGCATGTGCGTTTTACCCATATTCTATTGCGATATTTAATGTTCTTATAATGGCCTAACATTATAAGAAAATGTTAGGCCCCAGCCCTAGTCGCATCTTTGTTTGTTTCGGTTCTGTGTTCCAACAGCACTGAAATATCTTTATCTAAGAATCAGACATGAGAAACCTTTTAAAGACTGTAGCTGTGCTTTTCTGTAGCTCCTCTCGAGTCTTTCTGCTCGGGTTTCAGAGGAGCTGCAGTTTCTGGTTTAGTGCTGTCTCTTGTAGTTGCGGCCTTTCACCAGCAGGTGTCAGGCTTCCCGTTGATCATGATGAACCCAGCACTCTATAACTGTTAGTCATGGGCGCTGACTGTAAGTGCAGTCAGAACTGAGCAGAGGTTCCTGGCAGTCGTGACTGTGAGCCGCAGTGATCTCAGTGTTGGCGAGCAGAGGGCGGTTAAAGGTGATTTCCACAAACTCACTTTCTAACCTCAGGACGTAGGTGACCCTGTGGCTCCATGGGCAGGTGCATGAAATGCTTATTTTGGGGGGGGAAGCCTTTTAAAGGTTTTTATGTAGCAAACACGGGAAGCTTCCAGTGTCAGTAACCGTTAACCATAACCAGCCTGGGTTACTGGGACAGCTGCTCAAAGGTGTCGTGTTATCTCAACCAGGCCCGAGCAGTTAGTCAGATTTTAATGTTAGATGATTATTTTCTTTACATTAATGATGATTAACATGAAATTATTCTTGTACTACTTTTGCATCTCAGAACTGTTTTTGCTGTTGTACAGTTGCTTGCACAATGAAATTATGCAGCAAGACCACAAAGGTGAGAAAGTAAAGAAACCAAAATACAAGAAAGAAGGAAAACAACACGAGGACATTATGTACACTATATACACGACGTTTGGGTTAGAGATGGACCGATCCGATATTACGTATGGGTATCGCTCCGATACTGACCTAAATTACTGGATCGGATATCGGAGAGAAAGAAAAAATGTAATCCGATCCGTTAAATATCAAAAAAGCGCCTCACAAAACTTGTGACACGGCAAAACTCGGCTCATAACCGTAGCACGTCGGAGCAGTGTGCATCATGTGATAGAGCAGCTGTGACGCGAGACCTGTCGGTGGTCTGGTTGAGCGTTTGTAGCCTCGCTAACAACCCGACATTTCATCTCCGAGGAAGTGATTCCAGAGAGAAGTAAAGCAAGTGTGTAAGTTCATCTCTGAATGTTTGTAAAGCATTCCAGCGTTAAGCTTAACAACCTCTCTCTCTCCTGCTGCTACTTCAATCATGAAACTGATCAATGATCAGCTGATCGCAGGGCTCGCAAAATCGCTAGCCCGACGTCCCGGGGCTAGCGATTTTTCCAGTCGGGCTACCAAAATCTAACTCAGCCCTGCCCGTCGGGCTGTCATAGGAAGGGAAAATATGAATGTGCTTTAAGTTTTATAACTTCTGAGTGAATGTAGTTGCACGTGTACGCCTTTGAAATGGGTGTATAGCAGTTGTAGAAGAAGCTCCATAGTTTATTAGCCTAGCTTGAACCGGTAGCTCTGTAGACTTCGATATAAGTTTAGCCTATTTACCGTAGTGTCTTTTCAGAAATTGGGATTTGCTTCCGCATTCTATGCTTTTGCATTCTTTCGCCAATGTAGCTGAGTAATTATGTCACTGGCATCGGTGAGCCACTGTCAATATGTGACACTGATTGGTCAGTGACGATTAATTGTGCACCAATTCCTCTGACGTCGTCTTATCACTCATTAGCTTACTGTTCAAACGTGACAAGTGAAGTCTCCCGCAGCTTAAACATGTGAGAGGTTGATCACTGAGCGTTATGTGAGTGTGTGTGTAAAAGCAGCAGGACATATTTTAGTTCTGCTGAGCCAAATAAGACAGGTCAGGGTGAAGAAGTGACAGCCAAAGAAAAGCTTACCACAAAACGGAGAAGTTATGACAAATCAGACTATAAGGCAAAAAAAAAAGCGCAGCAGTTTCATGGACAAAAGAATTTCTGTGGCTGGAATATGACGAGCTAAATAACATGATGTTCTGCTGGGTGTGTTGTGAGTCGACAAGCGCCTTTGTTACTGGGACCAGTGATTTTAAGAAAGACCCCATCAGAACCCATGAGAAATGCAAGAAATGCATTATTGCTCAGTCTGCAGTATCTTTCCCAGAACAAACACCAATTGCAAAAAAACAGACTAAAAATAAACCTGAGAAATCTGTTTAGAGCAGCTACTATGTTGCAAAGAGTGAACTACCTTTGGCCAAATGTAGCAGTCTTTGCAAACTTCAAACAGCAAACGGCCTCGATCTTGGTTCCACTTGCCTCTTACCCGTGACTGCAGTGGAAATGTCAGATTGAGGATCTGACACAGACTGATTCATGTCCTACACAATTCTTACAAGTTAATAGACATTTCTGTTCAATGAGAACTAAGTATTTGAGTTGATGGTTATTTGTTCCTCATGAAGAAACCGTACTTCAGATTTTTGTTTACATTTATTTTGATTCAGCCAGTAAATCGTGGATCCTTTCTGTGTATGACAGTGAACGCTACTCTGTTTTTGTCAGACTTGAAATAGCAGAAATACCTTCACACAACGGAGCTTCTGTGGCTCTTCCGTTCGACAATCTCTCCGGCGTTGGAACCATCGTCTGTTTTCTCCTCGGTAACCTTCGGTCGCGCTCTCGGCACACTCATTTCCTCCGTTACCCGGCGGCACGGCGGCTGGCTGCTTCCCAAACAAATACACATGTGCGGCTTGGCACTTGTGCTGTACGCAACAAGTCACGTGACGCTGCGGCTGTGATTGGTTCGGCTCTGCGCTACTTAATTTGGATTGGCTGTCCTTTTTTTTTTTTTTTTTTTTTTTTTTTTGAGGACGAGCGGTGAGGCCTATCACAATAGTTAAATTTTTCTATCGAGAAACAGTTATTTCACAATACATATCGTTATCGTTCTATCACCCAGCTCTAGCATTACTTACTAATGACGTTTGCTTTGCTTTTGTTCAGGTTCATTCAAGATGGCAAAGACGCTGCCCGACAGGGAGACCTGCACAAAGCGCTGGAGTTCTTCAGACTGGCTTACAACATTCACCACAGTCACAAACTGGAAAGCCGGATCAAAAAAATCGAAGAGCTCATCGCTGAGAATGACTTGGAGGAAGATGATGACGAGTTTGTTAATGTTAACAGCAGCGGTTTAATGCTTTTTAAAGAGCTGTATGACAAGCTGTACGACTACCAGAGGGATGGAGTGGCCTTCTTGTACAGCCTCTACAGAGATGGCCGGAAAGGCGGGATTTTAGCTGATGACATGGGACTGGGCAAAACCATCCAGGTGATATCATTCCTCTCTGGCATGTACGACAATGAGCTGGCTAAACACACACTCCTGATCATGCCGACTTCCCTCATCACAAACTGGACCAAGGAGTTCTCCAAATGGACTCCGGGCATGAGGGTGAAGGAGTTTCATGGCATCAGCAAAGGAGAGAGGACCAGGAATCTGGAGAAAGTTCAGAGGAGGGGCGGCGTCATCATCACCACCTACACGATGCTCTTAAACAACTGGCAGCAGCTGTCCACCTACAATGGCAAAGAGTTCACATGGGACTATATGATCCTGGACGAGGCTCACAAGATAAAAAGCACAACCACCAAAACCGCCAAAAGTGCCTACGCCATACCGTCCAAGAACCGAGTTCTACTCACAGGAACTCCGGTCCAGAACAACCTGAGAGAAATGTGGGCTCTCTTCGACTTTGCCTGTCAGGGCACCCTCCTCGGCATGGCGAAAACATTCAAAGCGGAGTACGAGAACCCCATCACCCGGGCCCGGGAGAAGGACGCCACTCCAGGAGAAAAGGCGCTGGGATCCCGGATGTCAGAGAACCTGATGGCAATAATAAAACCGTATTTCCTGCGCAGGACCAAGTCCGAAGTACAGAAAAAGAAAACAAACAGCACACGTAACAAGGAACACTTGGAGGACATGGAAGACCATGTTCCAAACCTTGAAGCAGACTCTGGAGCGGTGATGCCCAAATTGACGAGAAAAAACGACCTGATTGTCTGGACTTACCTGAGTGCCGTTCAGGAGGACATCTACAGGCAGTTCATATCGCTGGACCACATCAGAGAGCTCCTGCTGACCACCCGATCGCCTCTAGCTGAGTTAAACATTCTGAAAAAGCTGTGCGACCACCCGAGGCTCCTCTCTGCTGCCGCCATAGCCAAGTTAGGCTTGGAGGAGAGTGCAGCTGACTGCCAGGAGACCACAGAGGCCAACGATCACAGCATCATCAGCGTTCCTGATCACACCTTGATCTCAGAGTCTGGGAAGATGGTCTTTCTTTTCTCTCTCCTAGATCGGCTCAGGCAGGAAGGCCACCGCACCCTCGTCTTTGCCCATTACAGGAAGGTGCTCGACATCATCGAGCGCATCCTGGGCAACAGAGGCTTCAAAGTGCTGCGGCTAGATGGAACCATCACTCAGATCGCAGAGCGAGAGAGGCTCATCTCTCTGTTCCAGACTGACAAACGGTACTCCGTCTTCCTCCTCACCACCCAGGTCGGTGGAGTCGGCATCACCTTAACAGCAGCCGACAGGGTGGTCATCTACGACCCCAGCTGGAACCCTGCGACAGACGCCCAGGCCGTTGACAGGGCGTACCGCATAGGCCAGACTGAAAACGTCGTCGTCTACAGGCTGATCACCTGCGGCACTGTGGAGGAGAAGATTTACCGCCGGCAGGTTTTCAAAGACTCTCTTATTAGGCAGAATACCGGGGACAAGAAGAACCCGTTTCGGTACTTCAGCAAACAGGAGTTGAAGGAGCTCTTCACCTTGGAGGACACGCGGTCCTCCTCTACACAGCTCCAGCTTCAGGCGCTGCACGCCAGGCACCGGCGCACCGACCCTGAGCTCGACAAACATATCACACACCTCCACACCATGGAGATGTTTGGGATTTCTGACCATGACCTCATGTTTACACTTGACATCAACCACGACGAGGCCCTCGAGAACCAAGAGGAGCATCATTACATCGAAGGGCGGGTCCAGAAGGCTCAGGAGCTCATGAAGGCGGAGTCTGAGCTGCAGATGCAGCTGGCAGAGAGCATGGTGTCCAGCACGGAGCCGGCATGGCTCCGATACCCAGCAGACAACAACAGCCGGGAGCGGTCCCATGAGAAGAAACCACATCCTTCATATCCGAAGCAGGACACGAGCCTGGCCTGGTCTCCAGCTGTGGTGGATTTGGAACAGACTGCTTCTGGGAAGGAGGCCACTCTGGAGAATCTCAGCAAGGGAGTGATTGATCTGACTGCAGAGGAGAGCACAGCAGAGGTCAGCCACCATAGCCTCGCTGAGCAGAAACTGGATTCTCCGAAACACCCGTCAGTGAAGCTGGAAAGGAACTTGTTGGAGGCGGCAGATCCGATCGAGGTGTCTGTGGTGCTGATGGAGGCTGGTGACGTAGCTGACACCTCAGTCAGAGAAGGACTCAATGAATCTGCGGCCGCGAGTCTGTATGTTACAGCAGCCGATGAAGATGAGCAGAAGATGATGGGACATTTGACCCTGAAGTACGATGACTCCGAGATGGAGCTGGGGTCTCCTCACGTCACTCCTCTAGAGAACAGAAGACTTTCCGCGCTGCGCGTCTCCAGTTTGAGCCTCAGAGCCGACACATCATCCAGAATCGGCAGCGAGCTCGAGTCTTTGAATGGCAACTTCAACCTACAGCTGGAGGACAGTGGCGCCGATCACGATGAGGCGGTGGTGCAGGAGGAGGAGGAGCTGCAGGAAGAGGAGGAGCTGCAGGAGGAGGAGGAGCTGTTGTCTCAGCTGCAGCTGGAGGGAAGTTTCGACGTGGGTAAATCTCTTTGTGAGTGGCAGCAGAAAGAAGCATCAAGTTACAGCGCGAGCAACGGCCGCGCCGTCAGCCTCAATGAGTCACATGACTCAGTCGTGGGTATCAGGAAGAAAAAGGCTGCTGTGATTTATGACAGTGAAGAGGAGACGCAGGAGGAGGATGATGGGCAGCTTGAGAACTCCTTCCAGGTTTCCGGAGCATCGACGCCAAAGTCAGCGTGCACTGGCACCACGCCGCTCCGTACTCGAAAGAGCATTGGTGGAAACACGTCCGTGGCTTCTCACCGCTCCTTCCTCCATTCCATCATTGAGGACATGGACAACCAGGACAGCCATGAAGATGATGGTGATGCTTCGGATGTCCATTCAGATGAGGCCGAAGAGGACATGATTGGTTTGGCTCATGATGAGGTTGAGGAGGAGGAACCCAGTGGAGAGACTGTAAACTCAGAGGAGGAGTTTGTAGAAGAGGAGATGGAGGAGGAATTTGAGGAGGAAGGAGACTTTGAGTCAGGAGACACTGAGGAATATGGAGAAGGGAGCCTCCTGGAGGAAACGTCCACCGAGCCTGAGTTGGTATCAAACGAGGCGATGGATCAGTGCACCGCCGAGACAGGTGTAAAGGAGGTCGAGGACGAGAGCTACGACTCGCTGGTGCAGCGAGGGCGGGAGTGCTACAGCAAAGCTGAGCTGGACGAGGCCCTGGACTTCTTCCTCAGAGCCATCGACATCAAACCCGGAGATCCGGAGATCCAGCTCATGACCATCCAGCTGTACCGGCAGCTGAGTCAGGTGGCGAGGAGATCCTAACAGAAAAGGACGATCGGGGCGGCGAGGTCAAGCTCTGCCGGCCCGCCACTTCACGCCAAAGCTGTAAATCTTTCAAACATGTCTGGCGTGTTCGTCTTCTCCGTGAGATCGCGCTGAGTGACTAATGTTTGAACATCTCAGCTGATTGCAGAAAGCTTCCTGTTTGAACTTCTTCTTTCAGTAATGTAACTAGAATCAGGTGTGTGTCATCATCCACCACGAAACGGTCAGTTTTCATCTTTGATCTGATTTTCATCTGTAACCTGTACTTATTGTAAAATACTTTGAAATTTGTCAAATTAAAATTCATGTTTCTGTCTAATTTGAATTCATGTCTGTTATTTTTAAGGTAATGAACGGCTTCATCTCTGAAAACAGAAATCTCCTGCAGAGCGTTTGGCCTACTGAAAAGTTTTCCCCGCCCTAAACCCACCAAAATAAACTTCCTGTTTTATCCAGTTGGGCCTCAGATCAGCTGAGCAGGAGCCTCATGCAGGTTTAGGATTCACAACAGGAAGCTACATCCATCTTTTATATACAGATTATAACTAAATCGTCCGATGGCCCATAAAAGACTTCACACAGCTGTGATCCAGCTGTGCAGAGACCAGAACATAAACTCAGCAGGAAGTGCTGAGGATACATCGGTGGGTCAGACCTGAGTTTAGGTCCCTCTGAAGCGTCTGACTCAGCTCTTAATCCTGGTTACATTCCCCTTTAGAACCGAACGTGTTGGGATTTGTCATCTCCTGAAACGCTTCACAGTCAGTGCTGCAAACCTACGTTTACAAAGCAGAACTGACGAGACGCACACAGCGGCGAGAACGCGTTCCCACACTTCCTGTCCAATGAGGTCGCGAAGGTCACAGTATTTGAGCAGAAACAAATCCAGAAAACATGAAACATCAGTGTGAGGTCATAACAGCTCATTTCCATGTTTCTGTGATCACTGGTGTGCAAATATTCAACATTATTCTTCTTCAAGTTCACTGTTAGAGCAAGAAGCTGAAGAATAATGAAGCTCATCATAAGATGTAAGATTCCAGTTATTTAATGTTTGACGTCAGTTTTACGGGTTGTAAATGTTCTGATTTCTCACTGCTTTCAGATTTTGGGGTAAAAACATGAACTTGGTTTATTTTCTGGATAAATACAAATAAAATTTGAAACGTGTGTTTGACAGGTTTCTAAAATACTGTGATGCGTGATGTCATAAATGTAGAGGGGGCAGGGTCACGGCACGAGTACACAAGTACTATGATAAAGTATAAATACTGTCAGTAAAGTACAAGGTTATTCCCAGCACGGGTCTGAGCAGGTTTGCACCCTGATTGGTTGAAAACAACTTCCACCTGCAGTCATGTGACACTTTTAAGTGGAGGTCACGTGATTCATTAAGTGTAAGCTGCTGCAGGAGATTCTGCCTCCATGCCTCTCCCAACACCACCTTCATCATCATCACCTTCCCTCTTCTGCACATGTGGACTCCAGCTTGCTGTCCTCCTGTCACCTCCACACTGCCTGGACTCTGCGCCGGTGTTGTGCCAAAAACTGATTTCCAGTGTGAGTAATATCTTTACATGAACAAGGTTTATAACGGGGTTATAGGCAAAACCTTAAAATTACCCCTTTTCATAATGTATCTTAATAACTCTGTGTTATTGTACTTTCATTATGACCAATCCCGTCTTTTCCCCACTTTAAGTGTTTACAGAACTGTTTTATTTGTTGCAATTTCTGACTTTTTTTTTTTTTAACTGGATAAATAAAGGAGATATAAAAGTCACTGCCAAAAATGTAAAGTTGACATGTTTGACATATTATAGACCAACAAGTCATTTATAGCTTATGGCAGCAATCAGTTTTTGGCACAACACTGTATTCAAAGTCAGCGCCTCATTGGTCAGTTTGCTCCCTGAAGCGTCAGCAGTAGCGGTTTTTGACACGGGCTCGTACTCATTCTGCCCCGACATCAGCCAGCGCATATTGGGAATGGCTCAGGCACCGATCGGTTTTCTATCGCCCATTTGCTGGGAGTAAGGGCGCCCTCCGTTTGCGAGGTGCGCCTGCTGCTTGCGGCACAGGGAGGAGAGGGCGGGGCGGCGTCTAATAACCAACTCGCAAAATAAAAACAAAGCAACAAACACAAAAACACCAGACATCATGATACAGATTTAGCAGCGATGTTTTTTCGAAATTCTATACATGAAAAGTGAGCTCGAGAGTCCTCGGTGCGCCTGCGCGGTGCTGAAGTCAAAGTAAACTTTATTGTCATCTCCGCTACAGACAGTCCAGCATATAGAGACGAGACGACGAGGCTGCAGTTACAGCAGTGCCAGTAACGCCAGGGGGAGTGTTCGCCCAGGGCGCCAAACAGGCTAGGACCGCCACTGAGCGTCAGGCTGACTGAAGCTGCGTTCTGATAAATCACGTGACTATGCTGTTTGTCTGATCAACACCTGGGCTCAGGTGAGTTTCAGAGAAGCAGTTTTAGTTTAATAAGAATATGACGTTTTTATTCCTGTCACGTGACGCACGTCTGCTTTTGAAGTTTAAAGCTTTTACACAAACTGAATACGTCACTGTACTCGCCGTAAGAATCTGCGCGTGCGCACTTCGACGGCATATTAGTTTTGTCACGTGAACTGAAAGCGTCCATTGACCTCTGCGTGAGCTGCTTTGACTTCAAAATAAAAGCCTGGGCTTGTGCAGGGAGAAAAGTATTGTGCTGAACGTTATTTTAATTTACTTACATAGGTCAGATAGCGAAGTGTCACCTTTATTCAAAGTACTCTGTGGAGTGAAGCAGCTCCTGTGATCATGAATTTGTATTTGCTGTGAGTAAAACAGCATTAATTATGGGTTTATTTAGAAATAATTTTTTCTTGATTAGCTGATTAGCTTATTTTGTTCAAAAGCCTGACATGAAAATATTACTTTATTTAATCACCAATAAAGACTTCAGATCCTGGAGTTCACATGAGAGTAACAGACAGAAAACAGTCATCCAAACACTATATAGTACTAATGAGACCATCTTCAATGCGTTTTTGTTTTTTAGGTAATGACATCGATGTGAATGGAGTGATTTCAGCTCCACTGCTCAGAGTTTAGACTCAACACCTGTCAGGTGATCCTGGCAGGATCACAGGAAGCTGAAAAGGTCCTTAAAGGGATCATCCTATAGTGTTTCATCAAACGTCCTATTACTGCAGTCTGTCCTTCCTGTTCACGCTCAGCTCAGAGTGTGTGGTACAGGTTGTAATTTTCATTGATGTGGATCAAACGTCATACCTCTGCCTACAGGAATGAATCATCAAATCAAATAAAAATGCAAACAGAGACTGTGCCCTGTTGACTGTATTCATTATCATCTACATCTATCAAGTCTACTGATGTGACCTTTGACCTTACAGGAACTGACTTTTGTCCACTTCTGGTAATTTGTGTGAGGTTCACATCCAGTAATCAAATCAATGTTTTAAAATAATTTTCAAAATCTTTTTATATTCATTGATATTCGTGTTTACTGGAACATTATTAAGACGGACTTGATTTTAATTTTATGATTTTAGTTTTGCTCCTCTTGAGATGATTGGTCTTGATGCTATTATTTTGAAGAACCGCACAGGAAGCTGCGGCTGTTTCCGCCAGCTTGCTTCAGCTTCAGTCGAGTTTCCAAGGAGAGAAATATCAGACGCACTTCAGCTCGGACGGGACTTCTCAGAGCAAACACCCACACACACTCGGGGCTGACCTTTGACCTCTGGGACATTTTGGGGTCCGGGCGGGAAGCTCGCGGACGGTGTAGACCCGGAACAGGCTGCCATGGCCCGGCCGAGGAAGAAAAGCTGCTCTGGGTGCTGAACATGAAGCTCCGCGGGGGGAGACAGAGAGAGCGCAGACTGCAGTAACACACGGAGGGAGAGGAGGCACTTTAATTCAGGAGAGAAGAAGAGGAGGATGAAGATGGGAGGGATAGTGGAGCTGCTGGGCATCAGCTGGCTCCTCTTCCTCCTGCTGTTCATCGGAAACGGCCACTGCAGAGGTGAGAGGGGTGAGGAAGAGCACGCTGAGTGGGAGGTTTATCGGGCCCTGTGAGGGACACTGACCCGGGGCATCACGGGAGGTGTAGTCCACCCTCAGCTGCTCTGACCGTCACTGCGAACAAATATCTGAAATGTTTCTATAAATGTGTCCAAGTTTAATCTTCATCGGAGTGAGAGGACGGTTACACCGACTCTGGCTCCTGCCTCCCTCCGTGAGCACGCAGGTGAGCGCACAGATGTGCACAGGTAGGAGTTTACGCAGCACGCTGAGGTTCCATCTGATCTAGTTAGCTCTAAGGTTTCATGTTAAATGTGGCCAGAGTTTCACAAAGTGACGGGCGCGTGCAAAAGTAAGGTAAAGCACTGGGTCGGGCCCCTCTGCGGCTTCCTAAAGTCAGCCAATCAGACGAAAGAGAATGGGGGCGGGGCTTAGACGGGAAATAAGGATGACCGAGGCCCGAGCCTCTCCTCTGATGCAGCGCTCCTCTGTAATCCTCCAGCTGTTCAAAGCCAGTTAGTGTAACTGTTGCTCAGGTGTCCAAGTACCCGAGAGCTTCAGAGTGGTGAAGCTGAGGCTCAGGACTTTTGCACAGAGCGATCCAAACCAGCAGCAGATCATATAGGCTACGTTCACCCTGCAGGTCTTAATGCTCAAATCCGATTGTTTTGTCTGCTTGTTCACACTACAAATAAAATGCGACAGCAAACGCTCAAAGCGGCCGCATGCGCAAAAGAAGACGTCACACACAGCGCGCTCTGTTTGGACCCAGAACAAACAGTCTTTACGTTTCCCAATTTTGCTTTAAGTTATAAAGTTATTTTGTTATTTACATAACAAAATAACTTCTGTCAGAATCTGCAGATTATACAGAACAAATAAAATGTTCACGTTTCTGCAACGCTATCTTCCCAGCAGCTGTACTGGACGGACAGGAAGCGTTCGCGATGTCTTCTCCGGCGCTGATAATCGGCGTCTGTCTTGTGTCAGTGACGTAAAAGATGGATTTAATGCGACATGACCGTCAAACAGCAGTCGCTTTCTAAAACATCAGATATGTGTCGGATTCAGGACCACATACGGAAGTGACCCAGGTCGGATTTGTGCCGTTCACACTGTCACACCGTGATCGGATATGAGTCGCAGAGGGTTGAAAAAGTCGGATTTGATGCGCTTTCGCCTGCAGCGTGAACCTTAGTGACCTGGACCTGCTGATGGATCCTCTCAGAGCTTCTCTGAGCTGAACTTACGTCTGAGGGGGAAAGTGGAGCGTGAGCACTCAGGCCGGAGCAGATTTTACTCCTGCTCCGGCCTGGGAAAGGAAGCTGGGATTTCCCAGGAGGAAGTGGTGCTTACTTTACTGAGCGGTGGGTTTCAGTTTTCAGGCGTGCTTCCGTCAGAGCTGCCTTTTCTTTCTGGAAACTTTATTGAAACAGTTGTGAGAACAGCCACACTGAGCTATCAGGTGACCAAACCGCGCGGTTCCTTCCTGTTCAGCGCCTGAATAACTAGCGTGCTGAGACCAGTGCAGCGTTTCCATCCTCAGCCTGAAAGTGCCGTTTTTCTTCATCATAGTCATATCTACCAATCTGCAGGCGGATCGTTTCCATTTGTTCCAGTATTTGTGAGTCTTTCTTAGACCATCGTTAATGTTCACACACGCTAACTTCTTGAAACCCCTGGGAGCTGACAGATCTAGGAAACAGGAAGACGGGAAACTCTTCTTTGCTCGGTTTGAGGTTTCTGCACATGAATCTGATATTAATCAGTTGTGATTTCCTGTTCTGCAATGTGGTTTTAGAGCAGTGAGTCAGGGGGTCATGCCACATTGCAGAGGTTTGTGTGAGAGCAGAAACCCTCTTTAACCATCAAAGGAAAGCTTTAACAGCTCCTGTTTGGATGTCTGATGTCACTATGACAGTGTTATGCATAGAGTACATTTGATAACATTAATATTGAATATGCTAAACGCTGAGGACACAAACATAAAAACCTGTGTGGGCTTACGCTGCAAATAAAACTTGACAGAGAGGAAACGGTGTGCAGCTGAGAGCCGTGATGAGGTCAGAGAGGTGAACCAACAGGATTCTAACGGTGATTCTGTCTTAAACTGGGAGACAATGGCGTTCAGTCCCAGGGCCACGTGGTCACATGTCTGTGGTCACGTCCTGCAAACGGAACGTTACAATACTCTAACTGAAAGCATGGACCAGTGTCTCTGAGTCAGTTTGGAGTAGAAACTGTGAACACAGGCTACACACAGGAAGTGACACGTACAGCTGTGTATCGCCTGCATAGAACAGTAACCCCAAGACTGAAGCGCTCACTTAGTTCATCATGTCGATGTCTGGACACACCTGTGCCGTCTTACCTGAGCTCAAGGCACTGCTGAGCACTCCCTGTGTGCGTGTGCGTGCATGTGTGTTTTACAGTAAAACACGTTGATGTTTTTTTCTTTTTGAAAAAAATCATCCATCTTCATCCGCTTTATCCGAGGCCGGGTCGCGGGGGCAGCAGCCTAAGCA